TAATTCGAGTTAAAGTAGATTTTATTTCGATTTATAGAGGTTTTCCGCAGTGGAGCGGAAGGAAATGAACAAAATTTTTGTTTTACAAAAGTTTTCGAGTTGTAGAGGTTTGAGTTGTTGAGTTATCGAGATTTGACTGCATTATAATAAAATAAATACGTAATATTAGTTAATAGATATAAAGAGCAAACATCAAATTTTAATTACACGAAATCATCACATTTATATATTTTTTTTCTTTGTCTTATATTATTATTCTATTTTTATTGACAATATGTACACCCACGGTTATTGATTCTGTCCCTCGGAAATTTTCACAAACTCTGAAGTGATCACTTTTCTACATTAATGCTTATAATCCATGCCATGATTAACGAAATCGTGCATGGACTATAAATATTAATGTAGAAAAGTGATCACTTCAGAGTTTGTGAAAATTTCCGAGGGACAGAATCAATGATCGTGGGTGTACGGTTGCACCATATGCAACAAAAATTCTGACGTAAAAGAATTTTCAAAATAGCTTCAAAATATTTAAAAAAATAACAATCAAGTAATTTTTAACGTATGTACAATAATCTCTCACTTCAACTCGCTGAAGAAATTTGCAATATAAAAGAATATCAAGAAAAAAACGCAATCCGATAAGGTAAAATTGCATTGCCTTATGACTCATGCAACCTTCGTATATAGGTATCTATCTATTAAAAGACTATGGCTACCATGATAGTCGGAACGGAAGAGTCAATTAAGGTCGTGTGTAGATAAAACATCAAGGATAACTTCAACACAATGTATAAACATATAATTCATATAGTAATGAACATTGGCTATCGAAAAGTTAATTCTTATCTAATTAATAAATAAAGCAAATAAAATTTCTTTTTATTTTATAACATTTTTATTTAATTATACAAATATTGTATTAAAAAATTAATTTCTAGCTTAATTACTCAAAAGAGAAAATGGAGAGATTTGCGAAATCATAAGTCAAAACTATATTTATGAGTTTTTTTAGCTTATCTTTATGATTTCCTCATCTCTGGAATAATATATTTGAATCATTTTTTGTTAGCTTTTTTCTCATAAAAATAACTACATATTTTACTTAAAAATCAAGCTTTTTTTAAATTTTGATTGTGGTTTAAAAAAGTCAATTTTTAATCATTTTAATTGTTTGTAACTTTTGATAAAATAATCTTTTAAAATCAAACGATCAAATTATAATCCAATTATTTTTGAAAAAATTTTTCATTAATTCAAAACTTTCCAAGAAAAGTTATAAAATCAAAAAACATTTTATAGAAAAGCGCTTCAAAGTTTTTAACATTTGGTGTCGCTACCTAACATTTCTTACACTATCTCTTTCCTTTATATTTTAAATCAAGTAGAGAATTAGACATCAATATGTCAAAAATGCCAATATATAAAAAGTTATAGAAATTAAATAGCATTATAAAAAATAAAATAAAAGTAAAATAATTTTGTTTCTGTTTCATAAAGTGGTAAATATACCGATGAAGGGAGGCTGCTCCAATGATCTTGCCCTTTACATCAAAGTTATGACCCCAAGTAACCTTCAGGTGGTTTTAGCCGTCGCTCGTTATTCGTTAAAAAATTATTAACAAAAAAGTACAAAAAAAATTATGCCAATGGGGGCTTGGGGGGTAGTATGGGCGCAGGCGGGGGGGAGTGCAGGGGGGAGGGGCGGAGCCCCTCTCCCCGCCTATTACATAGATAATATCTATTGTAAAAACAAAAAATACGTGCTTTAATGCTTCTATTTTTTTATTAAGGCGAAGATTTAATAGATATTCAATTTAATATACATTCTACCTTGCGTAGGGGTCTGTCTAATTTTTTCGGTATCTATTATTTTTGGTATATTGTAGACTCATACATTGTATAAGGCGAAAATTTATTAGATATTGAGACA